CTAGCAACAAATCAGTTCGGCAATGGTAACCAGATTATAGAATGGGCAACAGCCCATGACATGGACCTAGTCAGCATTGTGGGAGAGCCAACACACTGGGATGGGAACGTCCTAGATCTAACGTGGAGCAACACAGCCGCTATAGCATCAGTGTCCAACCGCTACCACTGTACCTCAGATTACTCGACCATCGAAGGTACCGTGCTTAACCCTACAGTGTCAGATCTCTGGAATTGTAAAGAACATTCGTGTCAGCGACGCCTACTTGAAGGAATTTAGCCGATGCGTTAGCCAATGGACCAAATCTAGCCCTCTTGACAGTGTTGTCAACATCGAAAACTTCACAAATGATCTCCTACAAGCACTTGGAGATGCGCTCAAGATTGCAGGGAAAGTCCCAGCCATCGAAAGTGGAAGAACAGGGCCATGGTATACCGATGAATGTCGCACAGAATGGCAAGAGTACAAGGCAGTGAGAGACAACCCTGACCTCGCGAAAGAAGCCCGCAAGAGTTTTAGAGCCGTGGTACGAAAAGCCAAGCGAGAGTACTGGAAGAGGCAAGTAGAGGCAGTGACTACTGACGCACAGGTATTCAAGCTCACGAGATGGGCTAAGCCTCGACCAGCTGCTGAGCCCCCTCCCCTGCAGATTGACGAAAACCGGTGGCTATCTGACCCGCGAGAGCGAGCTAGTGCGCTACGAGACATTCTCTTGGCTAGGTTTAGCGGCGAGAATGACATCTCTACCTGGGATAATGGAAAGGAGGAGCGTATTCCATGGGATACGGAATTATCACTAGACGATATGACAAGCGCCACTGTCTATGTCAATGTCACGGCACCAGGAGCGGGAGCGGACAAGATAACGGTACGGTTACTGAAAACCTGTTGGTCCCATCTAGGACCTCTCGTGAAAGATCTTTACCAGGCTTGTCTGAAAATCGGCTACTTTCCCACGGCCTTCAGGGTGGCAGAAGTTGTGCCTCTTCCAAAGCTGGTTAGAAATCTGTCAACTGCCAAGGGTTTACGACCAATCTCGCTGTCGTCGAGTTTAGGCAAAGTACTTGAGCGTCTAGTTGGTAAGAGAATGGCATGGCTGACGATAAGTCACCAAGCTATTCACCCACAACCATTCGGCTCCGTACCAGGACTATCTGCAGTCGACCTTGCATCCTGTCGGTTCACAGGTGAATGGCGTAGGGATAAAGGGCTTGTATTGAGTGTTTACTTCCAAAAGTATTGCTCAGCGCATCACGTGATATATTTAGGGCGCTAAGCTTCACTTTGTACCTTAGATATTAATGCTTGAGGAGGGAGACAACAGAAGAGATAAACAGAATATACCACTTGTTTTTAGCACTTTTGAGGCATTAAACCAAGTGAACCTCGTTGTACCAACACATCCTGTGTAATCCATGATGCTGAGGCGGCCATGAGAAGTGGTAAGTATGCGGCTATGGTCACACTAGACATTCAAGGTGCATTTGATGCAGTCCTTCACAACCGACTGCTCAAACGCCTTCGAGAAAAACGCTGGCCACGATCCCTGTGCCGGTTTATTCAGACATTTCTTTGCCAACAAAAGGTTCAGCTCAAATACCGCGGTGGAATCACAGAAGAGAAGATACTGGAATGGGGAGTACCTCAGGGCTCGCCACTATCGCCACTTCTTTTCATGCTCTACATCACTGTGCTTTTTGAGGATCATGGTCTAACGAGTAGGTCTGGTTATGCTGACAATGTAGCTATTGTCAGAATTGGAAAAACCGCGGCGGATGCTATCTCCACAGTTCAAGACGACCTCGACAGCCTTATCCTTCTCGCAAGAGAACACAGGATCGATTTTGACCCAGCAAAGTCAGAATTTCTAGTGACTGGAGGAGGGCCTAGAAAAAAATCAACGCGGCTGATCTTTCCATCTTGGTGAAAGATCGTCGGATCGAACCGTCACCTCATATACGGTGGCTAGGAGTCTGGCTTGATACCCAGCTAAACTTCAAGCAACATGTACAGGAATAGACTGGAAAAGCTAATCGTCTAGTCCATTTCTTACGACATATAAGCGGAGTTCAATGTGGGGCAGCACCCGGACCTCTGATTCGTGCGGTACATGCATGCGTTCTGAGCACAGCTCTATACGGGGCAGAAGCGTGGTGGCCAGGTCTCACTCGAATAACCACACTGCGAGATAAAGAAGTCGGCACTGGAGTAGGCTGGCACATATCTCTATTGGAAAAAACGATAATGAAAGCTATCAGAGTAGCACTCCCAGCGTGGCGTACCACTCCCAATGTTGCTCTTCATCGTGAAGCGGGAATACCCCCGGCATCGATAATTCTTCAGCAAAAGATGCTGCGGTCTGCAGCTCGTATGCGAAGAATGGATGCCTGGCACCCTCTAGCCATTCGGGCGGCTGAGGATCCGAAAGAGACGCTTAGGTCTTAGATCGGGACAAAGAAATCGTTTGTTCAGACAACCAGAACGGTACATGACACGCCTACAAATGAGTGTGCGTCGAGTTCCGACAGCCGAAGGCCCTGGAAAGCTATACTTCCCACGTGGCACCCCAGTATCGATTCCATGTAGTCGAGAAAATGAAGCTAAGTCTGGAAGCATAAAGCGGTGGTTAGCTTCTCTTCCAGCTAACACAGTCTTCGCTTTCTCTGATGGATCATCATCGGGTCCCGGAAAATCATCCTGGGGGTATGTAGTATACCAAGGAGGCAAGCTAGTTACAAGTGGCTCCGGTCCACTTCCCGGAGCAGAGGTATTCGATGCAGAAGTTGTAGGTGCCATGAAAGCCTTGAAGGCTGCAATAGAGGTAGGAAAAGACTTACTGTTGGAAATATCGCGCAATGTAATGGGCGCAATATTCATGGAACGAAAGTAGAAGTTGACTAAAAGAGTGTCATGTTCGGATTACAGCTAAAAGTGTGGGAAGTGTGCGCTACAAGTACAAGTGTAAGCGACACAGAGGCTAAGCCACAGCATAAACGAGTGTGGCGCCATCTAGGCATAGAAAACCCCCAATAACCTCCTTGCGCCCACGCCATACAGCCGCTCATATGTCCATTAGGTAGCCTGAAGCGCTACCATATTACCTGTTCCAACCTCTTAAATACACACGAGATCGTGTCGGGAACCTAGACGAAATGGAGGGCCCATACGTCCACAACACTCCGTGTCTCCATTTCCAACACTTACTGATCTGTATTCTTCTGGACAACAAAGCGGCCACCCAGGCGCTCGAAAGAGGAAGATCTAGTTCCTCGCAGGCAGTGGTGGACAATTTTTCATCGCTGAGACATAATAAGCGTGTGGAAATACGCTGGATATCCGGGCATGTGGGGATTCAAGGCAATGAAGAGGCCGATAAGCTGACCAAATCAGCCTTGGGAGCTCCCAATAACCGGTCACTTACCTCAGCTGCGCCCAGTGGAGAAGACCAAGATCTAACCTTTGCGGCATTAGGGAGGTGGGCTAAACAGCGCAGCCAAGAGCTCGTGGAAGAGTGGTGGCAGAAGTATCGACCGAAACGATACAAAGATCTGGACCTATTTATGCGTTGCAAAAGACCACCGGAACTAGCTTTACCAAGATGGGCGTACCATCGTCTTATTGCGGCAAGAACAGGCGACGGAAACTACGCCGACTACCATCGACGTTTCAATCCCGAACATGAAGATCTGAAATGCGTTTGCGGCCGAGACAAAAGGACATGGCATTTTTCAGAGTGCCGACCTGCTGTGCTACGTTGGAGAATCTATGAGAAAGTGGCTCCACCTGGAGCCAAGGGGATGATGAGGGAAAAGGGATGGTAGAAGTTCATTCAATTCTTAACTACAAGCAGATGTTACAGTCTGCCGAAGAATGATCAGGGTGGGAGGTGACCACGCTGAAATTGTTTCTGACCCGAGAGAAGATAGGTGTGGAATGTAGGGATGCGGCGCAGGGCATCGTGACTCAGACATTTACTGTTCATTTTTTTCATTCTTCTCTTTTATTGCTTCTGGCTCCACTGCCGGTCATGCAGGTAGCAATGAGCTTTTAGAGCCCATCTACCCGTGTCACGTCTAAATAGATGTCAGGTTCTTCCTGTCACGTAAAAGATTTCAAATTCAAATTATTGTCTTAATTATTAAGTACAAAACTAAATATAGCCAGGTCTCAGCCTGTTGTAGTGGTTACATCATGTGATAGTAATCTGAAATAACGATAAACTGGCGAAGGTGACAACTATACTTGGGATTTCGTTTTAATGCGTCCACACTGTATATCAAAAGGTTCTGCGATGCTAGAAGGCCACCTGTAGCCAAGTAAACATGATACCACCAACACTGTGTCAAGTCTTTACGAAGATAATTGATTAATTTGGACTTTCTAGCGAGGCTGAGTTTTAGGATTATCAATCTAGAAGCTGCATACAATGTATAACATGATATTGAGCTTGGGACTTTTGCAAGGAATGGTGAAACATTTCAAAGCGCAACTCGATCTTTCTAGATCATTCTTTTCCAAAATAGGTTGAAGCTCAAAGGAGAAAAGTATACAGAGACGCATCTCACTTTCACAGATATGAAGTTTTCTCGACAACGAGCATTTTTCTAATGCTCGCTAATTTCAGATAATGCTTAAACCAAAACTAAAACCTCATGTAAAGAATTATATGTAGGTATTTAGTTGATACTAAATTAACTGGCATCATACTTTCAGAAACGGCAAGATGATATGTTTAGACCATGTACCTTATTGATTATCATTATTTGTTATGACGGCAAAGATACCCGAAAGTGTTTGATTGGAGAGTTTCCGAATAGGATTAAAGGTACGGGAGCAGAGCTTAAGGAAGCCTTTCTCTTGTTTGCTTTTGAAAAATATTTATAAAAAAATTGATAGAAGTTTGATGTAGAGTTGATTGTCCACAGTGAAAGATAGAAGGTTTGTATAATCCATGACTTGATAGTTTAATCTGAGTTTACCAATGACCTAATTCCTTGAGACTATTGGTTATTTTGCTGGCTATTAAGAATGCGAAGAATCGAGAGAAAGAGGTTGATAACGTCAAGGTAAAGACTGATTGAAGCAGCTATTTCTTCCTCAACATGATGATGTCGCATGATAAGTTGAGTGTCCACCAGTATGTAACTGCGATTCGTTAGTAAGGTCTAAGAATCTCATTGGTTCAGGGGTTGCTTTTCTACTTACGCTGAGAAAACAAGAGCAGAGATACCACCATAAATTAAATCGGTAGTTTTTCCAGGAAAAAAGCTTGCCATAAATCCGAACATAATTAAACCCCAAAGCCCTCCGAATAGATAGGGCATCCATGAAGTAAAATCATACTTGGTCTGGCAAGCAAACAGAGTGAGTGCTATAAATATTCCAGTTGTTAGAATTACAGCTTGCAACACAATTCTAGTATCATAAAATGAGGTAACTAGAGCGACAGAATAGGCCTCGAAGGCCGTGAATCCTGCCAAGAAGAATAGATTAAACGGATAAGATTTGCGCTTCCAGTAGGTCAAACACATGAAGCCGATGGCACCAAAAAGCTTCATCTATTAGTGATTGCTTTATGCTGTGGACTCTGAACTTACAGATAGCCACATCATCCATTGATTCGTCTGAATCCAAATCTTGAAGGGTACCGAAAAAAATGAAATACTGCTAATTAAAGCAGTTGCACTGAGCTGAACGGAGCTGAAGTTTTGTCAGCCATTTGAAAAGGGAAGACAAACATGATGGATCAGACAGGATTGCATAGACTTTTCTCACAAAAGCCATTCGAATATCAATCGTAGCCTCAGCAACACTTCCGCCGAACTAGGATTAATTAATGGCAGCTTTACGAAATTTTTAGGGAATACATGCTTTGAAGTCATCAGGAATATTATCTTCATAACTTCTAGGTCCGCGTAAAAGTGTAGCTTCGTCTGTGTCAGCGGTAGTTGGGTCGGCATATGGAGGAGGAGCCCCAGTGTAAGCCGTGGAATCAGTTGAGTCTCGCTGTGGTACAGCAGAATATTTTGTTGTGGGAGCCATCACAGTTTAGAATTACAATCTGTAGGTACAATGTAATTACATCTGAAGAAATGTAAAGGATTAATAAGGATGACGATGTAATCAGGAGTTTAGCATCTGAATGGAGCCTAGATCACTAGGCGCCCATCACGTCTAGTCCCCCGCACTTAATCCTAGGCAATCAGAAAGTTCTATAAATATTCTGTAGATGCTGGATAATAAAATTTCCGATATCATGCTGCAATTCGCATTGTAATTATTGTTAACTTATACCAATTCGAATTTCTAAATGCGAAGAAATAAATCCACACACTTTTCTTTGGTGTGCTCCGCGAACCTTGGGTCCAACAATTCCCCCAGGACCTGATTTCCATCTCGAAGAAGGGTGGATTTGAGGGATTACGACAAAATAGCGATCGGCCGGAGTGGTGTTGGCTCAGGTTTGGTCGAAAACTGACAAGCAGAAATTCCATAACCACACAACTAATCAGAGCCAACTATCTAGACCCTGAAGCCCGCAAAGACAAATTCTTCATCTTCCAGTGGTACCGCTGTAATCGCCCAGTATGCTCTGCATATCTGGGGTAGCCAAGAAGAATCGCACCCGAATCGAAGCCGAAGGGAAACACAGACACATCTATAATCAGCGACTTCTCATCAATGTCAGTCTTGTCATTCTCACTGGAGTCCTCTACCTTAGCCTTACCACACATCATCTCGCCTCAACGGCCGATAAAGGCCTTACTCCAATTGATAACAGGAGCTCTTCTCATTTGTTACCGACCTTCGCCCACTATAAATTTAAGACGCTAATATACCTGTAAGCAGAAAATTAAATCATAACATACAAAGCTCGGGTCATGGTTTATGGGTGACTGTTGCTCTAATAGGACAAACAATTTGAGGAAGGATAGACTACTAGGGCGTAGAAAAATACAAGGAAGAAACCTCGTATGGGAATAATAAGTCTGATATTTTCGAGATGTTTTCAACTTTGGAACGTTTGTGGGCCATAAAACCGAGGTTTTGGCAAATTAGTCAGTAGGGCTTCTATTGTCGTTGAGTCAACGGCGCTCCACAGCGCCCTGGACGGCGCAAAAGAAGTCGGGCTAAGCTACCATACAGCTATCACGCTCTGTCAAGACTTTTCTGACATTTCAGCACGACTTTCGGGAAGGAGGCTAGAAAGGCAGAGGGTGAATTTTCCGAGGTACCCACAAGTCTGCAGCGCCCAGCTGGCCGGCCTCTTCGAAAGTATCAGAAAGGTCACTATGTCTTCGGATTCAGTCCTGATGTCGGTATTAGGAGAGCCCCGCACCCAGTAGTCTTTGCGATTTTTCCCGGCTGCCATTCACCTGCAAATGGCTGTGGTTTCGTTAGCTGGATAGGTGATCTACTACTGGCATAGGTGTCCTTGGCATGTAGGCCGAGTAGTCCTGATGTTTTACATAGTAATAGAGTCAGACGGGACAATAAAGTGAATTAATAATACCACTTTGAACCGACCCGGCTTAATGCTCAGGACGTCCCTTTCAACCATAACTTCATAAACTTTATCAAATTTCTCTAAATCCCCCTTTGATTAGACCATTGCAAAGAGAAATTGAAAAGAGAAGGCACTTCCTATATCGATTTTGCTCGGCGAAGAGTTGGACCCGGTGGTGGTGCGACTGTCACGGGGATTTTTGGTGCCGCTGGGGCTTTGACAACCTTTCGCGGTTGTCCCGACCCTCTTCTGGGTTCTTCATTCTTCTTAATGGCGAACAAAGTGAGTCCCTGATCATCTGTGGTCCGAACTTTTTGTTTGGGTTCGGCTGGAGGTTTCTCATTCCAGATTTCCGCCGTTCTTGACAGAAGCTTCATCTAAGCTTTATCCACATTTCCCTTGCAAACATGGTAAGTCCGGCACGCTGCTTTTTGCCATGAACGATGCTCCGTGCTGCAGTTCGTACAAGAAACTCTTTTTATATCTCAGTCCCGTGTTTGGTGAGCGCCAGCGCACTCGCCACACCTGGCTGTCTGCCTATATGATGCATGTGTGACTCCCCACTGGCTTCAGTTGTAGCAATGCTTTGGTCAGACTCGTGGTGACCACACTTGCGCGGTCAAGAGCATGGCGTTAATGACAAGGCCATATCGAACCACTCACGTTTGTATTTCCTCCGATGGGAGGTTGACTGCTATCGATCCACGAGTGTAGCTGATTTTCTTTGATCGCGCGTGTTCTTTTCCGTCATATAACAACCTTATGCTATCTCCGTAGTTAATATTTGCTGGCCGGACATCCCGATTGTTACTCTGCCTCAGGCCAGAAATCACGGACATATTCAATCTCTAAGAAGCATATTTAAATTTAATCTTCATTTTTTAGCATCAGATTTTAATTGCGTATGCAGCTTTCTAGCTATGACACAATATGAAATAAAAGTACAGAATGAATGATTCAACGTAAAGGAAGAGCACTTATGCCTCGGATTTCATTTGAAAGTACCACTGCGAAGTTATGGTAGCTTTTTCCTCACCCCAAGTCAACCCTCATCCGTGAATACCCACCCAGGGGAACGTCTCAAAAACCCTGAGTTATCCAGACATGCCTCCATCATCTTTCAACTTTTCTCCGCGCGAAATGTGGCCTTAAGTGTCTCTTTCCCAAGTGGAGTAGGTGCCCAGACTACTCAAACCATACCAGAGAACACCATCAGGAGGCGGACCACGACACCTTCCATCGTTGGCTTGTTTTTATAGTGTCAGCTGCTCTCTCGCAAGCGAGGTCTCGGCTCGCACAAAGCTCAATTCGTAAAACTCTTATCAAAATTCGGAAGTTCATGCCCGTCGAGTTTATATCCTTCTATTGCATCATCTTGTAAACATGTCCTAATCCCTCTCACGTCCATCCCAAAGAACAGTCTCCCAGATTTGTGTGCCACGCTTTGCTTCCTCCGCCGGGTGTAAATATCAGCGTGAGCGTGTATTTGGCGGTCAACTGAGACCAGAGAAGGTCGAAGAGAGGTGTGGTCATTGGGATGAGGATGTACTAGGTCGTACTTGTAGACTTGATGAGACTTAGGTAGGCGTCAAACTCATTGGAAGTGGAAAAACGACGTGCTGGAGTAATTTTAAATTTTGCCTCGTGAACCAACTTCTTTGATATTGCGAAATTCGACTGAACTCGACTCTGGGAGAATATTTCACTCCCAGGTTCGTAGAGGACACCGCGTACAGGTGTTCAGTCTTGCCCTCCAAAAATTCGCTCTATACCTATGATCATTGTTATCAAAATATCATAATCTCAACACCAGCAATGAAATGTAGAATTTAGGCAGGGAGATTTACGAATTGGGCTTTGTGCGAGCCGAGACTTCGCTTGCGAGAGAGCAGCTGACACTATAAAAACAAGCCAACGATGGAAGGTGTCGTGGTCCGCCTCCTGATGGTGTTCTCTGGTATGGTTTGAGTAGTCTGGGCACCTACTCCACTTGGGAAAGAGACACTTAAGGCCACATTTCGCGCGGAGAAAAGTTGAAAGATGATGGAGGCATGTCTGGATAACTCAGGGTTTTTGAGACGTTCCCCTGGGTGGGTATTCACGGATGAGGGTTGACTTGGGGTGAGGAAAAAGCTACCATAACTTCGCAGTGGTACTTTCAAATGAAATCCGAGGCATAAGTGCTCTTCCTTTACGTTGTTTTGTTTTGTTCATTAACGTGCTAGGTTACATGGCTACCGTTGCACTCCTATTGGAGCTTAAGCACGTGTGGGGTTGGGCCGGATCAGGTTAACTACCGTGAAGTACAGATAAACCTCGTCCCACTTTAATGACCGGACCACCTCAGACTTCACCTATGTGTTGAATCATACCAAGCCTGACCGTCCAGAAACCCGCTGTATACACGCCGTAGCGCGATTTCCTCCTCAGCCTCGGCCACCACGCGCCCGAGCCCTTGACATCCTCATTGACTCCGAAATATAAATGCCGTCCAAGATCTCATCGTTGCTCTAGCCTTGCACCTTCATATCATAACGTTGGGTTGTTTTCTTCATTGGGTATTTGCGTAATCCCCTCGGTGTATCTTCCCTCTTCTTCCTCCTTTGTACAAGTCCCGTTTCCATCATGACTTTCCTCATTAGGGCGTGTGTAGGTAGGTGATCGGACGGGTATGGAGGTAGGTCGCAGGTGTAGGATCGATTGATAAATGCTTCATCGCAATTATAAAAGGAGTTTAAGAGATGTCGGATGTTTGAATACGACCCCCAGATAGACCTAGGCCCATTCGTGAATCGTATGTTGGTGGTGATGACTTTTTGTTCGAAGTTGTTCCGGCTGTGAAATCTCTGCCGACTGATTTTTCGACCAAAATATCGAGTGCAACTCTTCAAGTCGAAAATTCATCAATTTAAATTCATCCCACCCTTTTTCGTGACTGAATCTCGGCTCTGGGAGAATATTTCACTCCCAGGTTCGTAGAGGATACCACTGTCAGGTGTTCAGCCTTAGTCCTCCCTTCCTTTACGTTGAATCATCTATTCTGTACTTTTCTTTGATATTGTGTCATAGCTAGAAAGCTGCATACGCAATTAAAATCTGATGCAAAAAAAAAAAAAAAAGCGAAATTTTATTTCACTGTGCGCCGCAATCCTGAGGCATAAGCGCTGAACACCTGTAAGCTATATTTGCTACAAACCTCCAGATCTAGCTGTACAGTTTTATGGCGCATAGTCTGAACTAAACGCCAACTATAAAAGCTTCCATTGTCAATGAGTCCAAGGTATTCTTCATTGCTCAATATAATGTGAGGAAGTTGAGCTAAGATACTTTATGGCACACACACTCTACTAAGATAACTGAGACTTTCCAATGCAATATTTGATCGGTCTCATAGAGTGCATGATGGAATTAGATATAAGCAGCATGGGAAGGCAAGGAAAGCTCTGCTGAGATTATTACAGATTTATGGCGCCGAGCTGGCTGCCTCCTCTATATACTTCGGAAGCGTAACTAGCTGTCGGAGCACTTGCTCCGGTAGGCCTGAGGTTGGGATTCATGCCTTAGGCAAATTAGTGGACCTAGGTTTTATCAATGCTTCTAGGGCGTCATTACTTAGATATCCATATACGTATACATCTCAAGCAGTCACCACTTTTGCATTAGCAAATCCATTCTCATTACCTGTGATATCACAGAGATTGACTTTGTCATACCAAAATATGCCTTTCAGTTTAGTCCTGATGTCGCTATCAAGAGAGCCCCCCAGCAAGAACTCTTTGAAAAATTAATCGGCTACTATTTATTATCAGCTAGTCTTGGCTTTGTTGATTGGGGAGATGATGTGATTAATGGCGAAAGAATTCAGTAAGTGTAATCGAGTGGGGTATGGCAGGGAGTAGCACTGCAGGAAAAGAGTTCCGAACGAAATAGAGCAGGGGGTATACTACCCGAAGCACAGGTAGTTTTGCCCGGTAGGTAGTGAGGACTTTCATGCGCTATATAGCCTCGCATTATGAGAAGACAAAACTATTTCAATCATTAAGCCCCAGTCCTGTTCTCTCTCCACTTGGAGGCCTTACCTATCTCGCATTCCGATCTAAAATATATAGGCTTCGTACTTTAATTATGAGCTCTTACTCATTAGACTTTACATGGGGGAACAAAAATGATGGTAAGATTAACCTAATGACTAAGAAGTAGTCACTCAAATAAAATGGTGTGTAAGATTTAGATGTAAATTCTCGAAATACCTGTAATCTTGATAACTAGGTTATAGATAGTAAGTTTCGAATAAGAAAGTAGATGAGTAGCCGCGTGCAGATAAGAAGATTGATGATCTCCAAACAAGGCATTGCTCGATACCCATGCCTCATTTCTATCCCGTCATATAGTCATAAAGCCTCCCCCCGCTAGCTAATATTTGAATCTGTTGTCACAAACTCCACATTAAAAATCTCATGTATCAATAGAAACACGTTGGGCCGCTCTTCTAGGAGCATGATATATCTAGGGACGGCTTGAGATACAGTAAGCCTCACGACGAGCTGTTGGGTAGAACTTTCAAAAAGTGAACGTCGAGTTTGTTTATAAAATATCTGTCTCATGTTTCGTAGTGCCGCGGACATAACTCGATCCATTTATTAAAACAAGTTTAATCTTAGCTTCTGTTGTGATGGATTTATCTTTAATATTAGTGCAAGATTGGTTACTATTTGCAACTTGTCTTAATTGTCTTAGACTGAGAATTACTTTATCGTATTGCAAGCGCAGATCAATCACCGATATAATTAAGAGTACAGGTATGGTGTTAATTTCCGAAAGCTTCAGGTAGAAATAGGATGGTTTCTTCTGACATCTTCTTTCAAACTTTTTGATTCGTTTAGATCAATTGAAGCTTCATGAGCTCTTAATAAATTTGTAGGCTGAGTTTGAGACTTTCGAAGATCTGGATCGTGCTTGATTACGTCATCATGATCACCCTCTGGATAATCATCGCTCTGAGCACTGAGACTGTGTAACTGAGTAGAATGCGTTTCGGCTGGAGAGTTAGGGACATTGTGGGCCTGAATGTTATTTTGGCGGTCGTATACCGGTGTAGACTTTATAGCGGATTTATGCCCTTTTTTACCCTTTCGACCCTTCATTTTAGCTTTCTCTAAGAGCCTTCTACGTTCTGCTTCCTGTTTCTTAAGACGCCTCTCTTTTATTTCATATTGTCTTATAAGTGCTTCTGGCGGGGTTCCGAAGATTCGCTCATATTCGCAAAACTCGCAAATCCAAATTTCTTGTGATGCCATGGGTTGCTGATAATTTCGATATCCCTGCGTATGACGGCGTTGTTGAGCAGCGATAAGATATTCTTTCCCAGCAACGTTGCGTGATCTTCTTTGAGGGTTGGACTGACTCAGAGTTTTTTTTTGCCCGTTTAAATTTACATGCCGGTTCGTTATATTTTCTTTTGAATTTATATTGTTGTGGCTAGATAGAATTCCAGGACTGGTTTGGGTGGCGTGAGTGCTCATCCTTTTGGAATTCTGGCTTTGCTTCGTAGCGTAGGGGCTATTTGGTCCAGACCAGGGAACAGTTCCCATTATCTGGGGATTGCAAGTGAAGGTAAACTTAGTAGAAGTAGGCTTTGGTTTATTGCAATCTTTTCCTAAGATTTCCATATTTTCCTGACCCTGAGAAAATAATACAGTATCTTTATCTGAATTGGAATTTAAAGGAGGTCGGGAGGCTCCAGCAGCTTCAGCTAGTGAGTAAATCAGCATATACTACTTAGACAGTATTTATAGTCTCCAGCAAGCTTACGCGAAGGAGACCAATTTATTTGTCTTGACCTGCCTGAGCGGCCATTACCCCAAATGTTAGATGCATCGGGAAGAGATCGGAGGGGGCTTCTTCCATTTTTATTGCGCCCGTACTTTCCTCTTCCACAGCCGGTGACCACAGAAGATGGACTTGGGCTGCGTAGCAATAAGTCTTCTATATCATCTGGTCCAGCACTTGCAATCATATCACTGGTGAGGCGCGCACTATTTAGAGTTGGGTCACCTGGAATAGGAATTTTTCTCTTTTTTTTATTGTTTGAGTTTTCAAAGGAATCATACCCATCTGCAGATGAATCTGTTGATCCAGAAGGTTGTGAATTTTTATTACTTGCGTCTAGCTTTTGAAAATATTGATATGACCTAGTCGCTAGATCGGCAGTCTGACGCGAAAATATCCAACTTTTAAATTTTGTTTCCTCGTCTGTATTTGACTGATCATCACCGTTCCGCCTTGAAATATAGTTTTTCTCGGCAACATCAAGTCGGCCACGTTCATCATTTTGCTGAAGTTCGACGAGACTATTTGATATAATTTGATCTCGTAAGTTGTATGGATGGTAAAATAAGGGCGGTCTACTTTTTGGTACTGGAGGATACTTTATCAACCGTGCAACCTCTGGAGAAATACGCTCTCGTAGCCTTCGTTTAGGGAGCGGTCGAATGGGGCGACCTAAGTATGGAGCTATGGTATCAGGGGACATGTCTCGTGGTGATATAGGGTTATATCCTGGATAATGAAAGTTAATTCAGTGTTAAATAACCAAGAGCTAGCTTGACTAGAAAGAAAGGATCAATTCTAGATGCGGGGAAACAATATATTCACAAGGGGAGATAACCAGCAGTTTCTAATACTTACCCATGATGTGAACATGCAGTGACTGTTTTCTTCCCTGGATATTTTATCAAACGATTGAATCGAATGAAATTACTCGCAGATGAAGAGCTGTTGGAATCTTTCCTGTGGTCAACTAGTTACTCTTGAAGTTCAACTAACTATTTTTGGCTAGGATTGTATTATGTAGCTTCAATTAGAAGCTGTAGGTAGCCTTCAGAGCATTCACATTGAAGAGCTAAATGTAGCAGTGGTAGATGAGAAATAATATGAAGAATGCAGGCATACCTATTAATTGCTCAGCACCTCAAGGCTCTAGGTTAAGTTAGACTGAAATGCCTTAATTTCGTTAAAAAAGATCGATCATGTGCCGGCTAAATGGTTTGTCCCGTAGACCAAGTTTCATAAATTCAACAGTGTTTGTTGGAAAAGAGCGTAGATAAGGTGTCAAGACGTGGGATGGATGTTGAGCTGCTAACGGCATAAGTAACTTGCTTCCTCATACCCACAAATTAATTCCAAGGCCCAAAGAACTGAGGGCTTATTATGTAAGCCATGAAATCATATGACAAAGCCCGTAGTAGTCTCTGTTTGAGTTAACTACCCTGTGGCAAAATCACTGTCAATTGTACCGTGCATTACTTAAATTTTATTCTCGCTTTTAAGGTTCCCTCATATTTTGAATTAGCTCTAATATGAAATCAAATAACTCATTCAGGTTAAGGATCGTTAAATATTTCTTAAATCAATGTTCAGTCTGACCTAGAGGCCTGATTTACCGGAAGAACCTAGTGGCGAGATCCTTCCCGGTGACTAAAGTTGTCTTGCAGATTTTCAACCAAATGGGAATGGCTAGGCGATCTTCAAGGGCAAATCGTGCTAATCAAGATCAAGTAAATACTCAATTTATTGCGCTTTTAAATACAGCAACTCGCGCCGATAGATCCACCAGGTCGAGCAACAAAGCAGAATCACCTGAAAAATCAACAGGGTCTAAATTTATATCAGTCGAGCCGCAAGTCGAATTAGTAAATAAATTAGAAGAAACAAATGTGATGCAGACTCGTCGAAAGCGTGGAAGGGCTGAAGAGCCAAAGGAAAAACACCCAAGAATTCAAACACCACCACACGAAAACAAAAACGATTCGGAAGATGTTGGCGAAGATGACGATGCCGTTCGATGTATATGTGGTCATGATGACTATCCTGGACTACCACAACCTGATGAAGATGGGCGAGGATTAACGCAAGCTGTAAGTGAAGGACAATCGCTATCAACTGCCGAGGCAACAGAAGACCTCGCTGGATTTTACCTTCAGTGCGATATTTGCAAGGTATGGCAACATGGAGGATGCGTTGGAATAATGAATGAGGGATCCAGTCCTGAAGAATATTTTTGCGAGGGGTGCCGCAAAGATTTACACAAAATCTTCACGTCTTTCAACGGGTATGTGAAGCTGAGAAGTTCAGGTCCCAAACGCTCTATTCTTTAAGTAAGCGACAAGTCGAAGCTCAACTTTTTCTATAGATTATAACTTTAAAGCAATTCTAATAGCTCAAATTTTCAAATTAGGCAACGTTATTCACATTACCTTCCACTTCGCAAAGTTCTATCACAATTAGGTTCTAATATTGTGGTAAATTTAAAAGATGAAACTCGCCCGCCAAGAGTTGGTAGAAGCGGGCGCCCTTCGAGCTTACAAAGTGCCAGTGCTAAGAGAAGATCTACCATGAACAGTAGAGACGCAGCATATGACGAAGGAGAACAGTTAAGGAGGGTTATAGAAGCTAGTAAATCTGAAAGGATCAGCGAATCCACTGACACCGGTATTAAACGAAGCAAGAGAGGCTTCAGTGGCTCTGAAGAGTGAGAAAAGTTCTTCACATCAAAATCTTTATTATACTCACATAAGCTATTTTAGAAAAGCGGAAGGTTCTAAGAGGCAGCGAACAAGCTCCACTTCACCATCTCGTGAAAGTCTGAATCAATCTCGGCCAGAATCAGAAGACGAAACTTTGAGTCGAAATCATAATACCAAAAAGTCCAGACTCGCTGGTGCAAAGATTAGTAAAGAATGTGAAAATAAGACGGAACGTGAAAAGTTTAGAATTGACGTTGGGAACAAACGTAGTAATCGAGCTGAGCGACGAAGGACTGATGGTAAAAATAAAGATCTATTGAAATATGGGACTAATCTAATACTACCTACAGATGCAGAAACTATGGAATTGGCCTCTGTAGATACAAGATTCTCGGCGAACAAGGGTTTCGTCCCAAATAACACAGCTATTTCCTCACAACCCATGGATCCAGCAAAAAATTCACAAAATATACTTGTTGAATCATCTCACTCTACTCAAGCAGCAACTTGTCAAAAAAAAATAGGACGTCCACCAAATTCTCGTAAAGGGAAAATGAATAAAAGCCAGTATTCCAAAGATCGTGATTTACAGGATCACTATGAACAGCAATCGAATCGTCAACAATCTCGCGACGTATCAAAAAGTGAAGAAATGACACATTACTCAAGCAGTTGGGGAATTCTAGGTGAGGGGAAAGTGAGTAGGAGTAAAGGTAATCCCAATAAAATTACCATGGCCGACATGAAAAGGAGGGTCACAATGATACTTGACTTCATTTCACGAACTCAACTTGAAATGGCTAGTGAGCCGATACTATCTGACACCAAAAACTCCGTCCAAAACTCTGAGCAACCAATTTTTGAAAGGATTTCCACTAAGCGATCTGAAGGTGGAGATCGACAATATAGTTCTAACAATGAAACCTTCCACGGAAGCGCAAAATTCAATAGAGATTTCAAGGATCTTTCATGTCGGGATATGATGGACGTGTTAACTAAACAGCTCATCAAATGGCAAAAAGAATTCTTATAGATAATTTGCATCATAACAATGAGAGCTAATAAAATTTTGACTTGGCAATCCGCGTTAAAGTTAATAACAAACTGTAGTTAAAAAGAAAATGCATAGATAGATAGACTGCATACAACTAATAATCAAAAAAACTTCAAAGCAAAAGATATTCATTATGTATTTCTAATGTTCTTTTACCCACAATTATTTTCACATAAAAGAATACACTAGAACTCCTTTTGGACGTTTTATTCGAGAGTAAACTCAAGCAATAGCCGAACCACATGAGCTCGTGCAAGTGTTATCCGTATGTGTCTTGAAAAATATCTACACTTCTATTCTTTGACGCATTCCCAAACTTCAAAATTAATTACACCTAGTCAACACTTTGGTAAATCTGCGACCTCATTCAACGTATTTGTAGGATAAGAGAATTGACAGCTAGAATATAAAAGCTTATTACAGTGTAGATATTGTTGGGGTCACATTTACCTGACTATTGATGGTTAGCAGTTGGGCAGGAGATAGGCGTGCAGTGTAATGTTTAGGGAAAACTCTACTTAGTCAGCTGATCGGCATTTTTTAAAGCCCGCCAGACACTCTATGCCTGACTTACACCCATCGTCCTGTACATTTCTTTTGATTTCAATTAGCCCGTTCGGGTACCCTACGAGGCCATGCAGATTTATCTAGCCTTAATAATTAAACGGGAGAGAACTTAATTCTATAAAAAACCCTCCAAAACTGTCTGTCTCATGTCTATTGTTTTTCTGAGGTTGCCATCAGGAAGTGCGTTTACACTGTTCATGCAGTGTGAACTCCATCATATTCTTGCCCACACCGTCCCATCTTTTCGTCCAATGCAATTTCTACTTCTCCTACGAGGCGGAATTATTGAAGCCAGTCTTTTGCCAGGATCCATTTTATGTTCTTCTATCATCTGGGCTGTTCATCATTGCCGTAAAGGACCTATCTTTTGCCTTTCGAAGTACCTCTCATCTTCCCATCGCCCACTGACGACACGCCAAGACCATTTGTTTGGCATTTTGAGACGGATATCCATACTGGCATTATAGATTAATCATTCTGGGAACTTTCCTTTGATACGGATAAGAATTGAGACCAATGAGCTCAATTCTTATCTGAACTGCAATACTTCTTTGGGCCATGCTAACGTTCGGTGGATATTTTAGGGTGTGATTCTGTAGGTAATCCTTTTTCTGCCTGTTGTCTCATCTGTAACAATATTTGCGGCTTTCCAGTGTTCATGGTCTGCTGCAGCTCGATGACAAGATCTTTTCGCCTTCCCTTGACACCTTCATGAATTTTATACTCCTGGAACGCCGCCGCCTTACCGGCAACTTTTTATCTACCTTTCTCATTATTCTTGCCAGAGATTCTGGTCTATTCTACAATGTCTAGCTTTCGATTCTTGGCGTGCCTATTCTTGGTTCTCCTTGTGGTCTGCTTGACTTTATTACATGCAGATAGTTTTGTTCTCTTGACAGGTAGTCCTTCTGAAATTCCGACGTGTTGGACTGCGGTATGATTATTTTAGGACCACCTAGTGAACCAGTAATGGGGATCCCACCATCAAATTAAAGAAACCCTAATTAGAATGGAAAAGATAACTTGTATTTAAATAGTCTGTCCTACATAGTTGTAAACTTAAATAGGACATAAATGGATTATTTTTATTATTATTATTATTATTATTATTTTAGGAGATCAGAATAAGTTTTGTATATTTCGTCCGACCAATTAGATAACGACCATATTCCGTGACTTATAGATTCCTGACATTCTAGGTTCTTCCCTCTGAGGTTAGCTCATTTCTAGATGATTCCAGTTGCTACTGCGAGGATTTCATTTCTAGCAGCTTATCTGTCAACCTAACTAGGACTTGCATCCAAAACAATATGAAACCGACAAGAAAGTAGACATGTCCCTGCGGGCTAAGTGCGCCAAGATCTCAGGTGAGACATGTTGAGCTCTAAATGCTTTACCCGACGTTTTTTTTAAATTCATTAAATTTTCATTTCTGAGTCTATGACTATGTAGGACATGCAGGTCCTCTCTGCCTACAGGCCAAGGATACCTATGCCAGTTGTATATTCCCTCCTATGCCTCCCAGTGACAAGGAAAGAAGCTTAGATAATTTTCACGTGAGATGGGCTATTTGGACAAGGGTACTGCCATATATATGTTTTAGTTTTGTGTCCACTTGAAATCTTTCTAGTTGAAAGCCATGCGATAAATCTGTAATTGTATCACGTGTCTCGCTTAGAATTCCACACTTTCCGTAATTGTGAAGTATGTAGATAATTGTAAGAATAAGAAAATAAGCACCAATAGTTGCAGTTATAATACACACAATAAATTATATATATATATATATGTATATATATATATTTATATTTTAAGGAATCTGATTTCGACAGCAAGTTTCCACACGCAGCTAAATATATAGATGGTATGCAGTATGCTCTTAACTCCACTGTCGCATAAATTACAACAGGTTATGAGCCAGGTAGCAAAAGCTAATAGGTCAAAAGATTTCTTTACCTCAAGCTTAATTAATTATACGAAAAGGTGCAATGTCTGTCCAAGATTTCGAAAGTTCCAAGATGGCTCCAAAGATTGAGGAGATGCTTACGTCAAGCAATAAGTCTGTGTGGAGTCGACTCAAGGCCTCCTCAAATGTTATGGGAAATGTCGGTACACTCCAGTTGCCTCCTTATTTCAAGTTGAAGGGGGAGGAAAACTACGAGCAATGGAAGAACAACATGGAAAACATTGCTCTAGCCAAAAACTTGGAGGACTACATATGTGATGAAGTGGAAGAACCCCCACGTGTGTCCATCAAAGAAAGATTTTCGAATAAGGAGGCATTTGAAATGAGAAAGCAGTGGCTCGCTGGAGATGCTAGGAAGAAACTTGCCATTATGATCAACTCAGCCACAAATATTCACGGCATGATTGATGGAAAGACTTCAGCTCTCCAGATGTGGTTAAGTCTGCAAGAACGTTTTGAGGGAAAAGGTTGGAATCTTGAGTATCGAGCCATAATTGATTGGTCGAATATTAGATTTGAAGACTTCATCGGCCTCAACCACTATGTTTCTGAGTTCACCAAAAGGGTCGAAAAGATCTCCTCACTCTCTGATTCTATACCAGAGTGATGGAATGGAATGGAATGTTCTTTATGCTGGAGTGGCTAGAAAGTTTCCAGTTTGGGTCGAGAGACAGAGATCTCAGGCTAGAAACACCGCCGTAGCTCCCTCACTCGACTATTTACTTGCTGATCTCCTAGATAAGGCACGCAATTTCGAGACATGCTCCTCTAGCACTATTATGATGGCGAAGGGAAGAGGGAATGCTAATGAAGGCGGCAATAAATTCAATTGCCTATATTGAAAGAACGGCAAGTGCTATGAGCACAACAAATCGCTTCGTCAGGATTGGGAGGCTAAAAATGTGAAAAAATGGCTTAAACGTCAAAATTATCTAAACCAGAAAAATACCGACAAGCTTAAGAGACGCGACGCAAAGGGCAAAGGAAAGTCTAAAGAAATCCAAGATGATGATACAGATAACAATCCGACTTCAAACTTTGGAAAACCCGCATTTAGCGCCTTTAGCCACGTCGCGCTCAGTAGTTGCTCGGATGGTCAGAGCCCCTCCACCTACGCAATACGAAAAACTCACTGGAACGACCGTTGGCTTGACGACACGGGGTCAGGTGAGCATATAGCTGTTACGGTTTGATCGTTATTTGAGCTTAGGTGAATACCTAAGCGGATTGTTGGGAATATTTACAACACGGCGGCACTACTAGTCAGGAGGTCGAAGCGTTATTACAACTAAGTAACACCTGGCAATGCGTGGCTGGGTAGCAAGTATTGTGCCTAAGGATAAGTCATCAGTCTGGAGATTGACAAAGGGGACCAATTCTTATAAATACCTGTTGGCCTCAAGCCAACCTTCTCCTCATAGTGAGTGAATCTGTCCAGGGAGTTGACTATTGTGACGGAAACCGAGTTGGTTGTGAATAAATCGATTTATTAAACTATATGAGGAGAAAAGAGAACTCTAGCTACGACTAATACAATGTGGCGGAGGAAGCGTCACACCTAAAGGTCATGGAACAGTGCAACTGATTGTTGCCATAGAAGGAGGAAGACATCACATTATAGAATTGAAAAAATGTCTTTACGTCCCAGGCTTTCCCACTAATTTAGTAAGTGGAAAGAAATTACTCAGAGCTGACTGCGCAATCCCTGATAGATATGTGAAGACGTCAAAAGGGTCCATCCTATTAAATACTGATGCACGCTGTCTTATAAAAGAAGCAGTGGACGAGTACGCGAATGTTGCGTACCCAGCGGGGCTTTCAGATATAAAACCCGACATTAAGCTAATGCATTGTCGCCTCAAACACATTAGTATTGAAAATGTCAGAAAGACTAGTCAGCTCACCCATGGAATGAAGTACGCGGACAGCATCGACAAGTTTAACGTCCATCCTGGCGAGTTGTGCGAGACATGTGAATTGAGTAAGCCAATTTGTCGTGTCAGCAAAGAGGCTAGAGCCAAGCCTAAGAATATCTTTGATGCAGTGGGTATTGACGTGATAAAAGTGATTCCTGAAGTAATTATGAATCAAATGTATGCCACTATTTTTACTGATTTGGCCACCAGCATGAGATGGGTCATAACTCATCCAGAGAAGAGAGGAGCCTTCGAAAATGTCAAGAACTTGCCCGTTGAAGCAAGAACTCAATATGATCGAACAATTAAGTTCATTCTGAACGGAGTATTGGAGTTCGGAGGCTCTAAATTAAGTAACCTAATGACAGAGTTGGGTACTCACCTTGAAGTAACAACGCCTTACTCGTCGTATCAAAATGGGGGCAGTGAAAGATCCAACCGCGTGATACTTGATAAGCTGCGAGCCGTCATGGGGGATCAGGCTATACCTGAATTCCTTTGGCCAGAATTAATACGCGCCGTCACGCATA